TATTTCAGTGGGCGGATTTTAAAAGTTAAAACTGCAAGCGTAATACACGCAAATAACGTAACACTGTGTCGTATTTACTTAACGTAGGGCAGTTGTGCTATATCCTACGGGAGGGCATAATTATTAATTAACAGGCATTATAGGCCAGAATAAATTTTGAGCCCCTTCACACCTGCGCCGGGGGGCAACTGCCCCCCTCTTCCTACGCCACTGTATGCCAGACTATATGCCACGATGATGATCCTTAGTAATCCATATCTCCTATGCACTGAGGTTAAATATAAGAGGGAGAGCATGATCAGTCATTATGAATGCGCAATATTCTTTCACTGCTCCTTCCTGGGTCTTTGTCAACAGTGAGAAAGATGCACGGGCCTTTTTGGCAATGACAAAAGTCTTAAGTCCAGGAGAGGACTTCACCTAGACACGAAAATTGTTTTTGACAGTAGTTGCTCCTCAGCTTCTACATCATCTTCTTGGTCATGAGTCATTTGACTCAGGAGAAATGCCATCTTCTCGAATTAGAAACTACAGTTTAATAACTTGAGGGACCAGAAGAGCACTGGCAAATACACTGATCAAGAGAAACAGACAATCTGCGAAAACAGATCCTGGTTGTGGCACCAAATTTCGTCCTTCCTATCTACTCTGTGGTATTCTCAGATTTACTGATTTACTTTTCAGATAGTAATCAGATAGGAGGTTTGCTAGAATATGTTTTTCTGAAACAAAATCTTATTTTTTCTTTACCTCGATTGAGTCTGAAGCAAATAATATATCACACAATGAAACAATCTTTGTTCTCAAATGCTTCATAAACACAGTCAGGGTTTCTCAAGGTAAATGTACTGTGGCACGAGTGCATAATGGTTTAAAGTGAATCTATTGCTACTGTAATCAGAGCCATATTTCTCTCATCCATCTTGTTCCAATCTGAGAAAACTTGGCATTATATAGGGAAAACAACAATGCTAATTTTCTCAAGATATTGTCTCCTTGGGTGTTATCTGAATTGCTGGTAAAAAAAGATATTATTGGTGTATATAGTATATATTATATTATAGTAATATTTTCTAATAAAGATGAGATGTGATGACCCAGTTTTATGAACAACTTGGGTGAAAGGAACTTAGTGGGTTTCTTGACCTACTTTTTATATTATGAACACAATACTTAATATTTACAGATATCCTGAAAAAACTATATATTAACGATGGGTTATGAAACATATGGTTTGCTTAAGTACCACAAATAGTCAGTTACTGTGTAACTATAAGTAGGATATTATATTCACCTCCGTGCAACCAACTTATTTTGTTACCAATTGCTACAAGGGACCACTTATTTCAGTATATTGTGTAATCTTATGTTTTTGTTTATTGTAACATTAATATAACATAACATAATATTTAGAGACAACAAGGGACCTATTGGTCCATCTAGACTATCCCATCCACTAAACTAAACCTATTAAAAAAACAAACCTCAAAGCTATATAATTCATAAAATTCATTCCATCATTCATATAATTATCAAGCATTCTCTTAAACTCACTTAAATTTATTGCCACCACAACATCTGAAGGCAACTCATTCCAAAGGCCAATTACCCCGTTAGAAAAATAAAACTGTCTTGGCTTAAGATGACTCCTTTCCTGCCCAATTTTATATTTGGGTCCCCTAGTCCTACCATTTTCACCACTATGTATGAAAAAAAAAAAAGATGAAGCATCAACACTATCAATTCCCTTAACAATCTTAAATACCTCAATGAGATCCATTCTAACTCTTCTTTTTCTAGAGAAAACAATTTAAGAGATATTAACCTCTCCTTGAATGACAACCTTTCCATCCTAGGTACCAATCAATGTCCTTTCTTAGGTAAGAAGCTCAGAATTGAACATAATACTCCAAATGTAGCCTAACTAGTAACCATGCAATGAAATTATAACCTCTGAACTTGTATTCAATATTTCTGTATGTACAACCTAAAATCCTATTTGCCCTACCACTTGCAACAGCAATTGCTTGGATGGCTTAAAAGACTGATCAACCACTACACTAAGATCCTTTTCTTCCATGACACTGTTAAATTATTAACATCTAAATTATACTTATAATTCAAATTATGATAACCCACATGCATTATCTTGCATTTAATATAATCAAAACCCATCTGCCATTTATTTGCCAAACTCACTAAATGATCTAAATCCTTTTGTAAAGCAGCAGCATCCAATACCTTAATATCAACTGCAAATTTGAGTAATTTATTGACCATTCCTTCATCTATGTCATTGATGTAAATCAGAAAGAGCAAAGGTCCTTAGACTAAGCTCTGAGGCACCCCATCTGTGACATTAATCCAGTTTCACTGAACTTCATTTGTAACAACCCTCTGCTTTCTTCCATCCAGCCATTCTTCTATCCAATTAGTTAACTTATCTCCACACCTACAGAGATAATCTTTTTACAAGCCTTTTATGTGGCACCTTGTCAAATGCTTTCTGAAAATTCAGATACACCAAATCTACACTCTTACCCTCATCTATACAAGTAGTAACTTTTTCCAAGCTTTGTAAGGCCTGAATTTCTCTTAGTGAAACCATGTTGACTATCAAATAAAATTCTAAACTTTATTAAATGACATTGCAAAACATCTTTTATCAGACTTACCAAAACTTTTTCCACAACTGATGTAAGACTAATAGGCCTATAATTACTGGAACAATTTTTATCACCTCCCTTGAAAAGAGGGGTAACATTAACCAACTTCCAATGCTTTGGGACCTGCCCACTATTCAAGGACTTACAAAAAACAGTAGCAAGTGGATCACATATCTAATCTTTATAACCTTCTTCAAAACCCTTCTAGAAATATTATCTGGTCAGGAGCCTTATCGTTCTTTAAACTTCTGAATTTTTTGTTAACAAGCTCAGAATTAATGCAATTATGTTGTTCATTCTTGTTTCCATCTATCAACTGTTCAAGATGAGGAATACTACTTCAATGTTCATTAGTTAAAACCAAAGAAAAAGCAAAATTTAATAACCCAGCCATCTCATAACCATCAAACCTTCCTTTATTATCCCTCAAAGGTCCTACCCCATCCTAACATTTTGTCTACCCTTAATGTATTTAAAGAAATCCCTACTTTTAATTTTTTACATTTTCAGCCAATGTTTTTCTTCATACATGCTTTTTGATGTCCTAATTTCCTGTTTCACCAACTTCCTTGATCTTTTAAATCTCCCATCATACCAATCAATTTCGATTTCTTAAAGTTGTGATGCTTTTCTTTGATTTTATCCCTTATACCCTATGTGGGTGAAATCATTCATTTTCTTGGTCAGGTACATAAAAGACCCTAGCAGTAAGTAGTGGGATTAACTGTAGCATTGATGATATTTCTGTTTACATTACTTGTACATTATCAGGTATCATGTAACCAATAAAGTCAAGAATGCACAAGCAACTTGGTGCATAAATAGTTTTGAAAAATGTACTTATAAGCTGATGGTAATTCTAAAGTTAATGAAGAGTTGTCTTCAAATTCAGACTGAGATATCTTACCCATATTTTTCTGAGATCTTAAACTTTTTGATTTAATGAAGTCTTAGAAACTAACAAACCTGCCCTTCCTCAGCAGTTTTGTTTGTAGTACCCTCTCACAGTAAACAATGAATATAATGAAATTTTATAACATTGATTATATGTTAAAGATATAGTAATTCAAGTAGAATAAAACATGAAAAGATATTTATATCAGAAAAAAAAGATAAGTTAGTGTGATATTTGATTATACAAATAAATGATAACCATTTTCATAAATATTGCGAGGTAATGAGCTTCATTTCTAGATATAAAATAAATGGTAGCTTTCATCATATTATTAAGATTTATAATGCCACTGTTGCAGTGCATTTGCACTACCTGTAATTTTATTCAATGATATATAAGTTTGTGATTTCATATTTTAAACACTTGTCTGTAGTAAATATGATATAAATTGGAAATTGTGATTTTTACTCCAATATATAATGATGGTCGTTTATTTGTCTCATATTTAAACACTACATTTATTGTTACTTTTTCTATTATCAAATTATTTTTCAGATCAGCTAAACATACAGCATGGTAATTTAAGATGTAAATTTATTAACAATAGTTTAATACGTAAGTGTTTGTATGTAAATCATTTTTGTGATTAATAGTTGGTATAATATGCTATAGAGTTATATAGTGATAACTTAAGTTGGAAATTTTATAAAAGTACAGTATCAACCTCTAAACAATTTCCTTATATTCAGTAGATTACAGAAATATATTTATTATAAAATTATGTAATTGTTTTTATTTTGTTTGTTTGCAGGGTGTATAAATCAGAAGGAAATTGACTGATATTTTTTTTCACTTTACACAATTAATGTAAGAAAAAAAGATTAGACCAACAGTTTAAAGATTTGCATATAGTCTTTTCTAATTTCAGACAGTGATTGAGAGGACAGGTAAACTTGACGCTGGTGAGTTTGAACTACAGTTCTTTGATTCCCGCTACATGTTGAAAGAAGAAGATGAAGAAAAGTGGAGTGGCTGGTTGAAGCCCTCCTGTATACCAATTACCATTATTCTTATCTTGATCATCTTGGTAGTTCTCCTTCCTTTGCTAGACCATGAAAAGAATGATGATAATGCCACAGCAGGTTTAAATAATTTAAAGTATTTAAGGAGAAACTGTTCCAATACATGTGTGTAAGTGCTAATATTTAATATAACACTTAATGACAAAAAAGTGTCATCAAGGCTATCCCATTGAAAAGAAAAATAAATAGAATAAAAACACCCTTATAGAAAGCCCTTATTATTTACATACTTGTCAAGCCTTCTCTTAAACTTTCTACATCCGCCAAATCTGAATTAAGGCAATCTCTTCTAAAGGTCAACCACCCTATTAGAGAAGTAAATCTTTTATGCTAACGATGCCTCCTACTCTGCCAAAATTTATATTGTGCCCCCTTGTCCTACCATATTCACCATTAGATATAAAAATATGATGCATCAACATGATCAGTTAACAGTTTTAAACACCTCAACCAGATCCCTCTAACTTTTCTTTTCTCATTGCTCCTTGTCTTTTATTAATCCACTAACTGGCAGTTTTTCATATACTAATTGTACCACTATTGAAATTCTCATAGCTTGCTGGTTAAAGTATTAATGTATTTTCAACAACAACAAAAATTTTTATATATGCAATCTTAACTGTACAAAAAAAAAAATTATTTCATTGTCTTGTGTTCTTAATATCTCCAATATTGGCATTTCTGAATTATTTTTAGATATAAAAAAACGTTTGATTTTAATGTTACTCTAAATATATTTCATCATATTTTTTGCTCGTCAATCATAATACAGTTTTACTACAATTCAAAACTATTGCAAAGTTGTATGCATGCATAAACTAATCTTAAAAATCTTCAGAGAACATTTAGAAAAGTGAGTTTTTATCATAAGACATGTTTTTTTATTCCTGGAACTTGTCTATGATATAATGTATGAAATCTATTAATATGTATTAATTGCAAGGAGTTCCAATTGTAATCAAGAATTTATAACTCATTAGTTCATTATCTATTTTTAGGACACAAAATTTAATGTTCATTAATTCAAATAATATAGTATTCAGGTCCACAGATATCAAGTACTTAAACTTAAAATTGTCTGCAAAATGTAGATTTTGGGTGTTAGAGTGTAAATTGAACGTGACAGCAAAAGAAAGAAATTCACACATACACAAAAACAAATTAAAAATATCTGTTTTTCACAGAAATTGTATAAATCTTTACACTTACTGGCCAGCTTACAGTTTTCTATTGTAATTGTAACTACATGGCTAATGGGGTAGAGAGGAGTCTCTTCAAGTTGCACCCACATTGGACAAAGACAAAAAGAATTCTAATATACTACTGAAACTCAGACAAAACTTGTGTGGTATACTAGAAACTGACAATGCATACATCATTGACTATTCCAATTAACATTTGTATGGAAGAAAATGTTCCCATTCATACCAAGCTGATTTAGCCACCTATTGCCTCACACCAAGACATTAAATACAGGACCAATGGCATATAAACTTTACCTGAATAAAAGGATTGATATACGTTCATGGCCTTTCAACATTCCCATTTTTGTGATACAATGAATACAGTGTGAATATTTAATTAGATAATCTCATAAAATGTTCTGTGAAGACTAATGAAATTATATATATGTGCATATCATAAATAATTAAGGTGTTAGCTAGCTGTAAAATATTCTAAGATTTGATAATTATGATGCACATTAACATATTCAATACCAATAAACAACAATAGATATTACTGAGACAGTGAGAGTTAAAAGAAAATTATGGTGTAATAGAATTTTCTTCTATCAAATAATGTTTTATAGAAATTCTTCTTTGGTATAATAATTTTTGGCTGGTAAAAGTCTGAAGTTTCATTAGTTCTTAATACTATCCTAATAACTTCTGGATATCTGTGTAATGTATATCTTTCCTCCTAAAATCCAACATTAAATTTAGTTTGATTAATGCCATAAATTGGCAGATGTTCTTTCATTTCAGTTTTCAACTTGTTGAAAGCATTCCTGAAAACATGACATATACTAAAGGTTCACCTCTACATCCATCAGTTTTTCATGGCTGGCTTGATTTAATTGAGAAAGCTCAAAATACCATTGACATTGCCTCATTTTACTGGACACTTCAAGACAGTGATGTTACACCAGATCCATCTGCTTGGGAGGTAAACACTTGTTTTTCATAACATTTTTTAAGGATATGTAATCAATATTCTGATACTGTATCAGGTTATGAATAAACTTGAAAATAACACAATAGAAAATTATATTTGACGTATAAAGAAAATAATGATTATATGAACTGCATATGAAATAATAGCTTGTTTATTATAGCTTATATTTGACTTGTTAGTATTTAATAACATAGTGTCAAAAAACTTTTGTGTAATTTTTGAAGATGACTAGCAGTAAGATGGTTATTTAAATGATAAAACATAATTATATTAAATTTTGACATGTTTTTTAGTCTGATTTTCTTGTTTATTGAAGTATATATACACTGTTAATCAAATATTTATTCAAAATATTTTTAGATAACTCATTTCTTGCTAATTCTTCTGAAAAAATTTAAAATAATATATATATAAGTTTACTATTACTTTACAGGTAAAATTTCATGCAGATTTATTATGGAACATGAGAGAATCCTCAATATAGACAGCACTTGAAATTCTTTTAGGCAGGATTAGAGTATAATCTATGAAACCATTTTTTTTCCTTTTTATTAGCTATATGTTTGTGTGCCAGCAATACTAAACGTGGGGATCGCATTTACCCAGTTTGGTTTTATTACTCATCCGGATCTCTACCAGTTACCCCTAATTGAAATTATTTTAGGCAAGATTAGAGTAAATTAATGTATGAGACCTTATGCATGGTCAAATACATCAATTGAAAAAGTTTGACCTCCTGAGCCAAAACTTCAATTGGATCTCAAATCGGTCAAGAGATGACAGAACTGTGAGCTATAAGTTTACTCGTGATAAGAAAAACTCAGAGCCATTCTAATAAGGGGTTAAACCTATTCTTTATAAAATTATCGCAGGAATATAGTGAATTAATTATTCAATTATGTTTTGTTGGCTGTCTTAGAAGGAAATGCAGGTTTCTTAATGATGTTACTCTTTAACAGGGTGAACATGTTTTTCAAGAATTACTTCATGCTGGAACCAGACGAGGAATTCATATAAGGATAGCTCAGAATAAGCCATCTATATATCAACCAAATTATGATACTGAGTACTTAGTGAGAAAGGGTACGTTTTGCCATGTTTGATTTTTAAAACAGCTGTTATTTTTCTTCTTTTGTGGTGTATCTAAACAGTGCTTAGTGTGCACATCTCAAATAATACTCATTCAACAGAAATGTTTTCAAAGGTAAGGGTATGTCATTATTGAAGTTTTAATATATATATATATGTGTGTGTATATATATATATATATATACAATTCACTGTTCAAACAAGAAAAACTGTATAAATGAAATGTAAAATATTAACGTATGTATTTTGATAAGGAAGAAATATGTTTAAGAATGTAATGTTTAAGGCAAATTGTTTTATTAAACTACAGATAACAATCGAAAGAATTTGTGGATTGAAAAACAAGACTTATAGATTTGTGTTAAAATGTGTTGATTTATAAAAATCAAGATATATTACATTTAAAACGTTTTAATAAATTAAAGTAGTTTGAAACTAATGTATGAGGACTGTCAAGCTGTTAGTGTAGAAATTAAATGAAACTTTGATATAGTAATAAATGTCACATTTTGATTATTAGTTCAGTCAGGCACTCAGTTTATAAAACCGTTGGAAACTTTGCTCTTGTAAAACTTAAGTTTTGATTACTATATATATAGTGTAGTCAAATAATAAGTCTAGAAACTTAGATCTTTGGTAGTATAAAAGTAATATATTTAAATTATTTATATAGTCAAACATTCAGTCTATAAAAAAACTGCTTGAAACCTTGATATTATAAACTTAAATATGAATTACTGATACAATCCAATAATCTGTACATATAATTTGAAACTTTAGTCTTAGAAAAGTATTATGTATTTAATATTTGTGTAGTCAATAGGCCTATTTTGGTAGTTGATACATTCAGACAGTCATTCTATACTGTTTGAACTCAAGAGATTGATAAAACAGTTTGCATTCAGTAAATTACCAATAAAATCTGGAAAATGAAAAAGCAGGTTTAAGGAATCTTGTTTTTCATCTGAAAATATGAATGTCCCTTTGTAAAAATTTGCATCAAATAATTTAAATGAAATTATTTTAATTGAAATGTTAATTTAAATTCACCTAAATAGATGTAGATGTTAAATGTACCAGTAATAAAATTAAAATTTTAAAATATATATGGCATATAAATTAAAATTTAATTCACCTAAATAGATGTAGATGTTAAATGTACCAGTAATAAAATTAAAATTTTAAAATATATATGGCATATAACTTAAAATTTAATTCACCTAAATAGATGTAGATGTTAAATGTACCAGTATTAAAATTAAAATTTTAAAATATATATGGCATATAAATTAAAATTTGTGCAGCTTCTGTGTGTAAAAAAAAATACACCATTTGTATGTTGTAAGAGTGACAGTCAAATCCACTATTCAATGTATCAAGAATAGCCCTAGAGTTAGTGATGGGTGGTATTGACTAGTTGTCCCCCTCTGGTCTATCACTTCAAAATTAGAGGCAGCTTTGTGCAAAAATCAATAACAACAAATTAATGAACAAAACATAAAAGTTAATAGTGGTGTTGTATGAGTGAAGAAGCAATACCATGCTCATAAAGTGCAAAGTGAAGATACAAATAATAAAATGTTTCTCTTTCGAGTCAGTAAAATAGGGCAAAAAAACTGTTTTTGTAAATGATTAGATAGATTTTAGTCTTTTTCTAGATTACTCAAATCTCACAGATCTATTTTATAAAATTTATAAAACATCCTCAGTGCTTGAGTCATTGTTGACTCTCCACTGAACTCGGATATCTCACGCATTTCAGGAAGTATGTAATTTAACAATTTCAATAGCCTCATCTGTAAGGACTGATAAAGTAGATAGCTTTATAGATATATTCAATATTCTATTTCAGTTTAAGAAAATCGAAAGGATTTAGTAAGGTGTATAATGTACATATTGTAAATTTGTAGACAATGTACAACAAATTTATAGTAAATATGTCATTAAGGAAGATTTTTTATTGATTAATGCGAAATTATACCATAGCTTATATTCAAAATACTTTATTACTATTTTTGTATTTGATAAAAATTTTGAAGTTTTTATTTTTGCTGGCTTATTCTTATAGTTTACCACCAAATTATAAACTCTCTGACAGATTGTTTGTAAATGTACATGTACTAAACTGTAATTATTGTTACGGTCACATAACCAGTCCAGTAAAACTACTTCCAGGATTTGATATTGTATATGTGCTCATATTTGTGTTTTTTTTCTCTTTAAACTGTATTGTTCCACTAAATATTGAATTAAAATGATATTTGTTTTTTAAACATCTAATTTTTAAATCATTTCCTGTCACAAGCAGTTCAGAAATCAATCTGTTGTTATGTTTATGCAACTGTTATACATGAACCTATTTGTTTCAGTATCTTGTGCTGTATGTGAGACATTATGAAACAAGCCACTTTGTGAAGAGTGTATGTATGGTAGTAGATAGAAGCTAAACTTTTGTTTGTGGTCACATTTTACAGATTATTAACAAATTTGTTGTGGTACAGCATTTCACTTTAAATATTTCTGATTTCCTTAGAATGAATTATGTTATGTGTTTCTAACAGTTTTGGAATCCACATGTTTTCACCTAGGGGCTGCAAAAGTACACAGTGTAGACTTTGACAGACTGATAGGTGCTGGAGTCTTACATACAAAAATGTGGTTGATTGACAGCCAACATTTTTACATAGGTAGTGCTAACATGGATTGGAGATCTCTGACTCAGGTAATGAACCCTCAATATTTATATCACAATTATTTGAAAGGCTATTTACATGAAGCTCTATTTTACCTAGAAGGAGTCAAAATGTAAACATTTAAATATTCTAGTCTAAGTTAAACTGTTAAAAGCTGAACTGAATTAATTATATAATTTACAGTTCCCCAATGAGTCAGAGGTAAGTATAAAATCTTAAAACACTAGAATATGGGGTTTGATCCCCACAATGGATAGAGTGCAGATTGTCTACTGGTACCTTTGCACAAAACAAAACCCACATATACAATAAAATTTGTATTGTTAGGAATAAACCAATGCTTGAACTATTCTCAGACTTTCACCTTTATATGTCTGAATAATTTCTCTAAAGTGTTTCACAAAATAGAAAAAAAATATTCCAACACAAATTTAAGTTTTACAAGTCTCTTATCTCAAAGATATCTTCACAGTCAAACTTTTATTGGCCCAAATGTAGTTGAATAAATGAAAAACATAAACTGTTAGTATGTTGCATTTTGTTACATAAACTGTTAATATGTTGTAATTAGTTGCTAGGTGTTATAACATTTTGTAAGTTTGATTTATGATTTTTAACTTACTTGTACAGGGTTTTTAGATCAGGAAGAATTTTATATGAAAGAAAATTTATTGTTACTCACTATAGCCAGTTTTCTTGGGTTGAGAGTTAAGAAAATGGGTGGTTAAGCTGTGATAGGTAACACTTTATAATATTTTAGGGATTATTATTTTCAATGATTCTTCAATTTTACTTTCTTGCTTTTATGTACTCTTTGAATATCCTGACTTGTATCTTTGTAGCTTACACATTTAGTTACCTATAAATGACTGAAAAAAATCTTTGTGTGAATTTTTAATATATATTTTCAATTCATATGGTAATGAAATCACATGTAACATTTATATATAAGCATAATTAAGAAAACATCTTTCTCATAGAAGTATTGTACTTTCATCCATCTATCTACACATATATATATATATCAAAAATATTAATTGATATATCATTACACTGAAGAAGATCACTCCTCTTATACATATATATTTATATATATTTCATATTTTGGATATATATATATATAAATAAAGCAGAGATGTTCATATCTTTGTATCTTTGTGTGCTGTGACAAGTTGTTCTGAGGAACTGGCTGAATCAGTTTTGATGGAATTCAGTAGAGTAACTTATGTGGAACTTCTAAAGAAAGAGTTGATTTGGATAAACAATTGGACAGAGAGTTTTAGATTGGCAAGCATTTGAATTTTACTGTCTTAATGCTATGAATGAAGGCTCAGTGAAAAGGTCAGTACACAGCTAGCTAACCATTGATGTATGGTTAGCTAGCTATGTATTGATGTGTGCTATGGCTCAAAATAGTGAAAGGGGTGGCCCACACTGTCTTACATTAATTCTTCAACCCAGAATTACTGGATAGCTTTGTAGTTCCTTATATTTACAGATTATAGTTTTTTTTACTATGTGTGTTTTTAGGAGGGAAGCTAATTATAGATATGTAAACTTATCTTGAAAACTAGCAGTGGCGTAGCAAGAGAGGGGCAAGGTGTGAAGGGGCACAAAATTTCATCTGCATTATAATGCCTATTAATTAATAATTATGCCCTCCCCTAGGATATAGCCAACTGCCCTACATTAAGTAAATACAACACAGTATTACGTTATTTACGTGTATTACGCTTGCAGTTTTAACTTTTAAAATCCGCCCACTGAAATATAGTGAGACCGAACTGACGTACAGAAGTAAATTACACTATTCCATCATTCATCTGTAGATCAAATACAAGTCCTAGAGTACAACGTACAAGTAAGTGTATGTTCAACAAAAAGAAAATACGAGATTGATGTAACATATTAACTGGTGTGCAAGATTGGCAATATATGCAACAGGGAAGGCCTAGATCTAGTAAACATTATAGGCCTAATGTAGTGGTTTGTAATTGTATTGGCTGATGGTAAATCATGTCTTACACCAACTAATGTACTAGACTTTAGGTCTAATTGCAGTTATAACATTATTTATAGACCCTAGGTCCATCATCATACAAATTGTAGCCTA